AAAGAAGTGAACAATAATAAATGAGTAAAACTCAATAAGTAGAACCTCTAAACCTCAGGTAGGATGATACCTTGCCTCGAAAATATGAACGGTAAGCTCTTGGCATATCAAAATGCAATCAAATAATCACACATGAATACTTACCTCCCATCGGCACATACAATTCAGATAAATAATCACACGTGAAGCCTTGCTTCCAATTGGCATGCGACAATTGCACATATTAATCAAGAACACTTTATATCACATAACCATGCACAATGCAACCGCAAGTGATCCGATTATTACGACCGTTCAGGACCACGACCAACACTCGCGTTGGTGGTCATCCAGCGTAACCGGGCATCATCCCGCCCCATCAGACACGACAATGTCTTGACCTCACTCAAAGACGGCAATCAATTAAGAGCATCGTTCTGACCTCCATCGCGAACGGGAACCGAAATCCATCGGGCATTGTCCTCCACAATCATACGGATACGGAACCATAAATGTGATCACGCAAGCACATCAAGCACTCAAGCCGATTATTATCTTTCACTTTGGCCAATGCAAGAGTGTTTCATGCTCACGCGATTAGAATATCTAAAATCTGGCACACATAATGATGCACTAAAATAATCACATTAAGGTTAGTCATATCTCATTGGAAAGCTCAGAGTATGTAGGTCTTATCTCCAGAAGACATCAAGCCACAATTCAAACGTTTTCATGTGAAAAATAGTGTATCTTGGAAATTGGGTAAATCTGGGCAGTTTTGCACAGTAACAGAAATCCCTTCAAAATAAATAGTAAATGAACTTCAAAAATTCTCAATTTTAGATATGTCACAGAAAACACATTGATAAACATTTTTTATAAGAGCACGAAACCCAATTCAATCTTTAATCATGTCGTTTTGTTACTCAAAGTTAGACCCGAAATCAGCTCGTCAGCACAGATCGTTCGATCTTCAAAATATATCTCTTTCAGTACCCAAGTCACCTTCAAAAGCCTCGAAATTTTTATATGTCATAGAAAGGAAAGTCCTTAATAACTTTTGTGAGGAAGCTTGTTGAAAATAGATCTGGAAAAATTTATAAAAATCGAAAAGGCGTGAAGATCACAAAAACTATGTTTCTAGGCAGTTTAAACACTGTTTGAAGGTGAGCTTTCGTACGACCCAAATCAACTCCAAAAATTCCAGATTTAAAATATGTTAAACTTCAAGATGTGGTGAACAACTTTACTGAGAACACAAACCCAAATTCGAATCACAAAGACATGTACAAAAATAACAAACAGAAAAGGTACTGTAGTTTCGAGTTCTGGGTTTCAAAACAAATCTCAAAGATTCAAGTCCAAATTGATACCCACGAAATTTTGGCTCATCTAGCTCAATTCCATAAGCTTAAGTGGACATGCAACAACTACTATGACCTTTATTCAACAAGCCAAACCCATCCTTCTCACATGCAAGTCATTAGAGACTCAAGGTCACACATGCACACTCAACCTAGGTCTGAAACGCGTAGAATAGAACCCTAGCCAAGGTATAGAGGAACCACTTACGAAACTATTAGAACTACGGGCGAAGACAGACTAATGGTGATGACAAACGAGCGGCGACACGGCACGAACGGTGGCAGTGAGTGGCTTGGATGGCGGCACGGATGGCGCGGCGCAGACGATGAGCAGCTCATGACGGCAAGGCGGTGGTTGGCAGGCGTGGACGGCAACGACTCGGCGAGCGGTGGTGAGCAACGAGCGGCTCGGCGACAAGGCAGCACGGCGGCGATGGTGAGGACGGCGAGCGGTGAGTGGCTTGGCACGGCGTGGCAGTGAACGGTGGCTCAGTGGTGAGTAGTCAGCGATGATGGTGGCGTGAGAGGGAGAGAGAGGGAGAAATGAGAAAAATGAGAGTGAATAAAGGAGTGGAATGAGAGAAGTGAGAAGGTTTCCCCTTAAGTGGTTTTGCAAGAAGACCCCAATAATGCAAGAGCATTAATGACCCAAGCACCAAGCCTAGCCCTAGCCTCCTTAATTTGCTCCCAACCAAGCAAATTTATGGACAAGAAGCAATCATGAAATATCTCCATCAAGTCTCACTCTTAGGTAATGATGGCTAGCAAAGTAGGCTCAAGGACTTAGTTAGGGACTAAGCTAACCAAACTAGAAACCAACCAAGTTGGCCTCTTCCCCTCTCTTCCCCCAAAAGTGGCGCCAACCCCAAATCAAGCAAGACCAAATTTTGGTTTTTCCCCAAACTAAGCTTCTAGAAGATGCATTAGAAACTAAACTATAGGTTAATAAACATAGAACACCAATCAAGCACATAGCACATTAATGTGCAACCTTCTAAGAATCAAAAAAGGGTCAAAAGTGGTAAGATGGGCTTAACCCTCTCGATTGACGCCTAATCAAGGTCGAATAAGTCCAATGATGCGTAATTAAGCGGCGTCAAATTGAGGATGTCACATCCTTCGTCCCTGTTTAATGAAATGCCCTCATTCACTACCCCAAATGGTGCTTTTCTCCTTTGCTGAAATGCCCTCACTTCTTCCCTTGCTTGTGCAATGACCTCATCATCAACATCACTTGTGCAAATGGTATGCATTAATGTTTCCTCATCTTCATCACTCAACAGTGCAATTTTCCAAGAGTCCGGGTTTATTCTTGTCGATTCTTCAGGCAGTGTATCTTTACCATCAGATAAGCTACTAGTATTCTCAAGTTGCTCAAATAAATCTAACACATGAGCTATATGTGAAGCCTCGGTCTTCTCCGCTCTCACATCTACTTCTAAAACAACTCTATCACTTTCTTGGGTTTTAGCACCAGCTTCTAACACTGCTTGTTCATCTTCATCGCCATGATGTTCAACATACACATAAACATAACTACCATGAAATTAATGATAAACAAGATCCCTCACACCACTATCATCATGTAGATATCTCAAGCCATCCTTAAAACTCTTACTAGGTACTTGATAATATAATTTCCCTATTTTGCAGCGCAACTGTTCCTCTATATCCTTCTTAAAGTCTTTATATGACATCTTACTAAGACTAACAAGGATAACATCAACCTTTCCACCAACGTATTCCCACTCTTCCTCAATCACAAACTTCCCACCGTAATAAACTTTAATGGGTGCATCAGTATCGCCCATGTTAACACTGCACCCCATAAAAAAAGTTATTTTTGCAATAGGGGACCATAACACAAATAGATAACTTCAGGAATCAGTCCCCACAACCACAACAAAACACTGCACCCCATACAAAAAAAGTTATTTCTGTAATAGGGGACCATAACACAAACAAACAACTTCAGCAATCAGTCCCTACAACCACAAAAAAAAAACAATGCACCCCATACAAAAAAATTATTCTTGTAATAGAGGAACACAATACAAACGGGCAATTTCAACAATGGTCCCCCACAATCGCAATAAACAATAAGGGGTGTCGGTCAGTGGACACAAATCGACAAAGTATAGCGGCGAATAAATTAAAGCACTCACCTTTGCACTGTGGCACTAAGCCCTAATATTTGCCCTCCAAGATATCGCCTTTTCCTACGCTTTTACACTCTGTCAACAACACAAAATTGAATAAACATTTGCTCAATTTGTCGGTCAGTCAACACAAAACAACAAATCACTAACCTTTACTCTTTGTCGACCAAGATTCGTCACGCGACAACCCTTAACTTTTCCCTCTAGTCCGTCGCCTTTTTAGTCTCTGTCTAGTGAGCAGCAAAAATGAAGATCGAAGGTGAGAAAGATCGAAGCCCTAATTTGCCATTATAGAGAGAGATCGACTTGGGATTTTGGGCATACTGAGAGAGTGCCAATGAGAGCTCGATTTGCTTTAGAAGAGACGAAGTGTTGAGGAATCGAACAAAATCGAAGCCCTAATTTGTGATTATCTCAGAGAAATCGAGAGAAGGATGGAAGATAACGTGCACGAACAGGAGGAAGATGACGTGCGAGTGAGAAGCCCTAATTTGGCACTTACATGCAACGTTATCATTTTCAAGCTATTACATGCCCAAAAATGATGTTGTTTCTGTTAGAGAGAGAGATATTTGTGCACAATTTAGAAAACGACGTCGTTTCTTGAGGACAAAAATTTCCACGTAAGAATTCCATTTATTTTAAAAAATTCCATGTCAGATTGTAAAATTAAGTAAATATCCATGTAGGACGATTTATCGGAAATGGCACTCAAATGATCTATTTTACTCCAATGTGGTATTCAAGTGAGTGAAAAAAAAGTTATGGCACTCAAGTGAGCGTCGTACCGTACGAAAGTTATGACACTCCTAATATTCTTATCCCAAACATAAGTGGTAATCCATTATTGGGTTTATGGGTGGATATATTGTTATTTCATTGTCAACTTATTAACCGTGACAGGCCCACTTGTAAAATCTAAAAACAAGTTGTGATCTACTAGTGGGTTTGTGGATGGTACATTTTCTATTAATTTGTATCTTGCAAACAGTTGACCGAACTAATAAACGCCTGTCACTTTTAGCTTACCATCAATATTTCAAATTTACTTACGACGTTACATGTTTAACAATTTAAGGAAAGAATTTCCACTTTTAGCAGACGGTGTTTTAGAAATTGATTTAACTCTGTCCTTGATGGCTAACATAACTAGCAGTTCAAAACCATCAAAAGAAAATATAGCTAAAAAAGCCAAACAAAAACTAGGAAAAGAAAACAAATATTTGTACATAATTAAAACCCTCTAGTTTGATGGAGGTACCATAATTTAACACCTTCATCAAATTATCAGACCAACTCCCAAAAAGGTAATTAACATTGTGAATGTGGAACTTCTCTATGGATGTCTGTAAAAGAATTCGATTGCAAAAAAGAAAACATTGGTTGTCAGATGAAATAACTTACATCAATTTGCTTAAAGTTTGAACACGAGAGAACAATTTGTGTTCGTGGATCAGGATGCCTTCAAAAGCAACATGCACTTCTTCTCCAACTTCTTTCACAAATATGCCCGACTACTCTGAGCAAAGCCAAGAATTGCCTCCACATTTAATTTCATGCAATCAATTATGTCAACCTTTTGCAGTCTCTTCAAGCTCAACAGATCAGGCAACTTCTGTAAAGAATCACAGGAAAATATCCCCAATTCTTCCAAAGATTTTGGTAGCTCACCTTGAATCTCAACTAGCTTACCACAATTTAGTACTTGAAGACTTCGTAGTTTGTTTAGATTACTTAGACCAGTTAATTTCTCTACCTGTCCAAGGTTAGAAAGCCGCAAATCTTGCACGTTCTCCAAACGGTCAAGGCCTCGAATCTCTGAAATTGCAGAGGACGAAATCGCGAGAGATGATAGTTTCCTCAAATTCGACAGATCCATTGATAAAAGTGATCGGCAATCGTACAAAAGTAAGGATAATAAATTTGAGGGAACCCTCGGGAGGCAACGCAAATTAGAGCAGCCAAGGTTAAGTGCCTTGAGTTGAGGAAGGAGACCAATATTTGTAGGTAAGGTGGTCACATAATCATAGTACAGGCTCAGAGACTCTAGTTTGCTTAACTTTCCAATCCACCCTGGAATTGAATCTTCCACAAGCTCATAAGATTTCACATCATAAGCACATGGGCCAAAGCGCAAATACAATTCCTTTAAATTCATCAAGTTTGAGAGATCTGGAAACGTGTTTATGGACAAGGTAGACAAATGTAGAATGAGAAGACTTGCAGGAAGCCTTGGTACTGCATATATTTCAGCACAACTCAATTTCAAGATTCTCAGGGATGGACTTCTATAGATGCCATTGCCAATTTCCACATGCAAGTCATGGTTATACGCGGCTTCTATTTTTTCAAGCTTTTCCATCGTCCAAAGGGCATCGGGTATTATGCTGATGGCACTTCCGGTCATCTTCACTACTTTCAAATTTTTCAAGTTTCTAATGGAATCGGGTAGTTCGCCAATATTCGTGTTGGATATGTCCAACTCAATTAGCAATTCCAAATTCCCGATTGAATCAGGAAGCCTTTTCAACAACAAGCAGTACTCTAAAGATAGGTATTCAAGGCTTGTAAGTTCTCCGATTGAGAGGGGAAGTTCAATTATCTCACAGTCACAAGCAGTGAGAATCCTTAAATTCCTCATTCCTTCACAATTAGGGATTTCCTTGATTAGAGTCGAATCAATTAGGAGTTCTTTCAAAGCTTCTAGTCCGCCAAGCTCGTATGGCAGCCTTTGAAGATTCCGACAGTGTCTCACATCTAAGGAAACTAAGCGTTTCAACTGACAAATCGACCTATCAATTTCGATTAATTCGGTACAACCCCATAGGATCAAACGTTCTAAATTTGCATGAGCAGAGAAGTTGGGAGTTCTCTTCAAGCAATAACAATCGGTCAAGTTCAGAACTCTCAAATTCTTTATCACCTGTAAAAGAAAAGCCAAGCAAAGATAACTTCTGAATCTAATAAGACGGAAATTATAAATATTGTCTAGAATATAACATACCTTCATGCGGCTCCACCCATTCCAATCATGCGTAATTTTACTCCCAGATAGATCAACAATAACCATATTCTCCATGGAGAAAATTGTTATGTTAAATGTCGGGGGAATATTATGCCAAGAAAGCCATTGTAATTGTGGAAGGAGATTTGAATTCTCCTGATAATCATTAGTTGGAATAACATTTGATGGCAATTCATGCCAAAGAAGCCTCTCTTCTGCACAGAAATTTTCCATGGAACCATCAATTTCAAGGAACCTTAGATTTGATAGTCTCATAAGGTCCTCCAAGGTAAAACAATACTGCCACTGATGGTCAAACTTGAGACGAAGAGCTTCAACTTTTTGTTTTCCCTGCCAAAGGAAAAATTTAAAAACAAAAACTTTGAAGGAATTTATTTAATTTCCTTATTTTCAGGATTTGATTTGAGTACTATCATTCCTTTAATCTTTAAAGAGCAAAACTATTGGTTGAGTAGGTCACAATGGTGCTAGAGAATGCAAAAAAAAAATTGAATTTTTTTAAAATGAAAATATCCATAATGAAGTGGAAATTTATTGCACGTGAATTTTACCTCATGTCTCCTCAACAAAACCAATGCTTCCTTAGGATTCCACACTCTATTTTGCTTCTCTATTTTCATGTTACTTTCTTGACGCACCATTTCTCTTCCTAGGTCTCTGAGTTGGTCATGCATCCACACTTCATTATCCTCGTTAATCTTTATCAAAGACATGTTCTGCAAAACTTCCATGGCTTCTTCTAGAAAAAGTTTACCTTCATCCCAAAAATGAACCATAATGTCTTTGTTATATCCAATGAAAAAACAAGCTATATCTAGGAATATATGCTTTTCCCGAACATCTAATGCATCATAGCTTATTTTTAGCTTCTTCTGAATTTTTGCATCAGGAACACTATCCAACTTCTTCAATGTGAAATCCCACTTTTTCTTTGGAATGCGAGACAAAAGTGAACCTATAACCTCAAGAGCTAACGGAAGACCTCCAGCAATGTCTATTGCCTTCTTGGATTGGTTGATATATTCGTCCAAAGGATAATCTCTTCTGAAGGCATGTTTGCTAAAGAGTTGAAGAGATTGATTGCGATCCATGCAGTTAACCTCGTACCTGCAGTCCACTACGGGAACATCAAGAACATCTTTCTTTCTAGTAGTGATAATAAGTTTGCTCCCTGTACCAAACCAATCACGCTCACCTACAAGTGCATCCATATGATTATCTTCATCCACATCATCAAGAAGAAGGAGGATTCTTTTATTAGACAACCTATCTTTAATTGTCTGAGTCCCTTCATCAATGCTTTTAATGTCTATCCATTTTGTTTTGAGGATGTCAGAGATGAGCTGAGTCTGCAAGCATTCCATGCCCTTGAGTTTTGACATTTCACGGATGTTGGAAAGAAAGCAACAATCCTCGAAATTGTTTGAAAGCTTATTGTAGATGATTTTGGCAATAGTCGTCTTTCCAATGCCACCCATCCCATATATTCCTATAATCTGTGTTTGGCTTGTCTGAATACCTATCATTTCCATGATTTCATCCACATGCTGGTCGACATTGACCAAGTTGTTTGATACCACCAGATAAGCCTTTTTCAACTCATTAAAAACCTTCTGGGTAAGTGTTTTTGTGAACGCAGCTTCTCGCCTAGTGTTTGTTGGAGGTCAAAAGGCAATGAGTTAGAAATCTGTGTTGAACCATCTGACTAGACCAGCTGAAAATTAAGACCTATTCGAAATGTGTTCTTCACAGAGTTCCTTTATTGTTGAAGGCTTAGCGTTGACACTGAGGGTTAATGAATGACCTGAGCTAAAAAAAATGTTCTTTGGAATGAGAAAGGACAAAATTGGGATTGTGCCATTATTTAGTGTGATTTATGCGGTTCAACTTCAATAGCACAAAATTCAATTTCAACAAGACTAACACAATTCTAGAAAAGAAACCATTGAGATTTAATGATCCAAGGCACATGAGATGGAATGCTAAAAGCAGTCACCTGGTGGGCAGCTCCCATCCGTTTAGAAATGATACTTCTTTGAGAGCAGCCTTCCACTCACGCATAGTCTCTTCATCATATCGCTTCTTGTTTTCATGTGACAGAAAGGCCTCTCCATAACCCCCAGTTTGGTGTCGAACCTCTAAAGGTGCCACATCATAGAAAACGGGCATAATCTTTTGTCCCCTAGTTTTCTGGCACTTGACCATCTGGACTAGCTCCTTGAGACACCATACACTAGAGGCATAACCTTTCGAAAATATAGGTATTGAGATCTTTGACTGATTAATTGCTTGGAGAAGTTCTGAGGCAAACTCTTCCCCTTTGCGGAGGTCTTCATCGTCCTTAAATGCGCGGATTCCTGCATCTATCAGACTAGTGTAAAGGAAGTCAGTAAAAGTTGCTCGAGTATCTGGTCCTCTGAAACTCAAAAATACTTCATAGTCATATCCCGATGAAGTAGCCATTCCTTGACCTTCTGTTGAAGTGTGAGCAGAAGAAGCGCCTCCTGCTGTTCCATCGTTTGCAGCTGCATTGTTATTTGCCTCCCCTCCATTCATCTCTCGTGATCTTCTCTTCAAGAAATGATACAACAGCATAGCAGCAAAAGCAGTGGCAGCAAGAGATGGAAAAAGTTTGGAAGCCATGATCACAAGTGTGAGTGTGAGCACAAGAATTACAAATGGAGATCTCTGTGCGTCATTAAACGTAGAAGACAGGATTGGCTAAATATGCCGAGAGTCGAGGGCCAATTTGCTAGAATTGGTCCATAAGAATGATTCATTACAGCCTGTCAAAGTTGACAAGTGCTGGTTGTTTAGCACCAAAGTGGCCCCTCCCAACTCAATTCTTCTCTTTTATCTCCATCGTCATAATGCAACTGGAAAAAGAAAAATACAATTGCGGGGTAAATAAACTAGCGGAATTCTAATTCTTCTCTTTTATCTCCATCGTCATAATGCAACTGGAAAAAGAAAAATACAATTGCGGGGTAAATAAACTAGCGGAATTCTAATAGTGCATCTTTTCCTGTACATAATTGTAGTGTCACTTTCGGGGTTGGGTTGTCGAGTCGGGGCTATTTTGGGGAAAACAGCTCCTGGTCTGGACATATGAGTTGTTGTTCATCCATCGGATGTCTATGTTGCTGCTGCCAAATTACTCCAATGCCCTCATGGCATGAAAGTAATTTTTTTGGCGACAAAGGCCTTGAGTCAAGAAAGGATACCAATATCTTGGTCATAAGGTGTCAAGCAGAGGACAGCTTCGGACTCCGGCTTGCTTAACGTCCCATCTTTCACAAGCACTCAATGTCCTTGAGTTTTGAAGTTTCTCGAATGATTTTGAATGAAAGCGACAATCCTCATAATAGTATGAAAGATGAATGTAGATGATTTTGGAAATAGTTTTCTTTTCAACGCCACCCATTTCACGGAATCCAACAATCCTAGTTTCACTTGTTTGTTAACTCACCTTCTCGCCTATCGTCTGTTGGAGGTAAAAAGAAAAAGTAATTAAAACATTGTGTTGAAACAAACTATGTTCTGAAAAGACCAAATTACAGACTGCAAAACTATTTGAAATGAATTTTCAGAATAATTCAATTTAGTCATATATGAATTAGCCTTTGTAGCGAGTGCCAACGAATGATGACCTGTGCTAGAAATGATGTTTGGAATGCAAAGGTTCAGCATGGATTTATTTATGAAGGATTCAGATTATGATCAAACCGTGCTGCTTCACTGCGTGATTTATGGGGTCTTTTTCAATAGGCAAAACTCAACAAACTAATAACAAAAACCGAGAAAAGGTCAAATGAAACACATCGCATGTTAATGAAACTGAGCACACCGGATGTAATGCTTAGTCACCTGTTCAGCATGCTTTGAAGGTACCAGAGAATAATTAGTTTAGAAACCACAATAACAAATAAAGATCTCTGTAAGTCATAAAACTCACAAGCCAGAATTGGCTTAATATGCAGAGAGCCGTGTGCTAGTTTGGGAGAATTGGTCAATATGAATGATTCATTGCAGGATCATCGCACCGTGTCAGAGTTGACCATGCACGTCGGTTAACATCTAATGCATAAAATAAGGTTCATCAGCGGCTTCCTGGATGCTTTTCTCTATAATTTCTTTTGCCAGCTTAATCTCGGGGGCTGCGAACCCCTTTTGACCTATCAAAATATTAGGACAGGCCCACATGAACATCATCACGCATTGCTTGAAATAGTTTCCACATCGCCTGAAGTCTAAAAAACGTATTAGCACAAGGTTCCAAGCTCATAGACTTTGATTAAAAAAACATACGCTCCTTATAGATCTCAATTATAAAAGTGCTCCATTTTAGATGATATCTTTGGAGGCGTGGCTATTCACTCTCTCGGCTACTGCTTGCTGATTCAATACAAAAATTAAAAAAGGCGAAAATAAACTTGCAGACAGCGTGAGACTAGTCTATGATAAACTTTCGGGATAAAAAACATTAGAAGTGCCATAATTTTTATACGGTGCTCCCTTGAGTGTCAACTCTTTTTTTTTTCTCGTGGATGCTTCCAATATAATTTCTTTTTTTGATAATCTAATCTCTGTGGTTGAGAGCCCGCTCTATCTAGGGAAGATTGGACACAACGTCAGCTTCCTATATAATTAATCTATAAAAATTGGGACAAGCACATGTCAACATTGTCAGGCATCTCAGATAAAAGATGTCCACATTGAATGATTCTTACAAATGTAATAGCACTAGGCTCGTTCATAAACTTCGATTAGGGAAAAAAAAGATGACTCCTCTCATATGTAAGCACGAAAATTGGTTCTTTTTTATGTTGGTCTTGGAGATGTGGCCCTCCACTTTCCGTTAGGTTAGTCTCAAAGTCTTTGCCAAGGACTTGCAGACATTGTGAGACCTAGTCTACAGATATTCCGAGTTCAGAATAAAACTTTGATATACTTCGATTTATTTGATGTGTTAAAATAAACATAAAGCGCAATATTCTAGTCATTATTTAAAGTTTAGCTTGACATTCGAATTGCATTTGAATAAGTGTATTTGCTGAAGTACTTTGAGTTTAGCCTCCACGACTCTGTCATTGTGATTTGATCACCTTATGCGATTCGATGATCACTTTGTTAGAATTGGTCATTGAGAATGATTCATTGCAACATCACTCCAGCCTATCAATGTTGACAATGATTATTTTAACAAAAACCGAGAAAAGATTCAAACGAAACGCATTGAAGTTTAATGAAGCAAGGCACACCGGATATAATGCTTAGTCTCACCTGTTTAGCATGCTTTGAAGGTCCCAAAAAAAACAAGTTAAGAAGCCAGAATTACAAATAGAGATCCATGTGCCAGTTTGCGAGAATTGGTCAATATGAATGATTCCTTGCAGCATCACTGCACCGTTTCAAAGCTGACAATGTACTTCAGTTAACATCTAATGCATAAAATAAGGTCCACCAGAGGTTTAGTGGCCGCCTTCATTTATAATTTCTTTTGCGAGCTTAATCGCGGTGATTGAGAACCCCTTTTGACCTATCAAACTATTAGGACAGGCCCACAGCAACATCATCAGGCATTTCTTAAAATGATGTCCACATCGCACAAAGTCAACCCTTTAAAAGTAGTATTAGCACAAGGTTCCGAGCTCATAGGCTTTGATGATTAAAAAAATATTGATTCCTCCCGGATCTCAAGTACGAGAGTTCTCTGTTTTAGATGATGTTTCGGGAGGTGTGGCTCTTCACCCTCTCAGCTAATGTGTTGACACCTAAATTTCGACCGATCATTTAATAATAATTTGCATAAAAAATTAGGGATTAAATTTTAACCCCTAAACAAAAATATTAAAATTGCATAGCATATAGTTTAAGTTCATATAGGTTAGTTGCATTCCGCATCGGATCGGCGGTAGCGAGAAAGCTGAAAATTCATCGCGTAAACCGAGCTCGAGCACTCGGCTCACTCAAGGGATTGGGGGTCAAAATTCACAAGTCTAAAAGGCTTTGGTTGTTTTAATTTGAGCTTAGATCAGCCCGAATTAATTTAGCCTATTTGGAATTAAATAAAAATTAAAGGATAAAGCCTAAGTCTAAGCCCATTAGAACTAGGAAGCCCGGCCAATTAACCTAGGGTTGTGATATAAATATGTGATTATACCCTTTCGATCAAGGGGGGACTCTCATAATTTTCCAGAACGCAACTCCTGAGAGCACGAGGCCACACCACTTACATACACGGCTACGGTAGAGAGTTTGGGACATGGAGAAGAAGATATCGTGAGGGGCTTCACGATTCAAAGAGACAGTGCCACGTTCAGGGAAAGCACAACAAAAAATATGAGGCAGAGATAGAGAGGAGGGATCAAAATAGAGAAGAGAAGTCTTGGCCCCTCCCTTAGCTGAGCCTCACGACCAAGCAGACCCTCCACACCGACGTGCCTTTTCACCGTCGCCAACAACCTTCACGGTCACTGCACCCCTGGCCAAGAACGAAGCAGCCAGGTCGCGAAGCATCTCACGCCCGACACTCCTGCTACACCAACGACGAGTTGCTGCAGTCGAGAGCCTCACTACCGCAAGCTCTTCCTTGGCAAAAGATCAACATCAGCCTCTTCCCCACTGCTGCTAGTGGCCAAGCCGAGCTTCACCGAACAATTCACTGGGACAATACCAATTGCGCGAAGTTGTGCCAGAGATCTTTGGGTGCCGTGTCCATTGGAGGGTTGTTACTAAAATAGAAAAACGAAAGAAATTTCCGTTGTGTGCAGGTGTGATCCGTGAGTGAAGTGGCGAGAAGGTTCTAAAGGGGTGCACTTTGGATCATTCACAAACGAGGAGAACGCGAGGGCAAAAGCGTTCATCGTGGTCCAAGATCGACAATTATTGCCGTGAATCCTCTTCGAGCACGAGTGTCCAATAGTTGCTGCGAGTCCTCCACTGCACCCCCGGTTGACCAGAACACCACCGCGAGAACTGCCGCCGTCGCCGCCACTAGCCCGCCGTCGGTCACCGTCCCGTGATCCGCAAACCCGATCCGGCATCAAGCTCGAATTTGGAAGTTATCCACAAAATAGTTAAGAAACTTTATCCGATATCGTTTCAAATATTTAAATTCCTAATTCGAGTGATTTTGTTGTCTTTGGTTGGTTAGTAGATATATTTGAATGATGCATGGCTTATTCGCAAGATTTCAAAAAATACACTAAGTTAGGAAACTTTCCTAACTTGATAACGTGTCGGGACGACTATCCGATCTCAACCATGAGATACGATACTCGGTGGTACGGAAAATCTTTATCCTATCTATAACTATTTGGATACGATAATAGATTTTATTTTGTTTTCAAATTCAAACGAATTGCCTTCCATCAATATCCATAACCACATGGATATGATCGTCGGTTCATATCGTTTCCTTAATTCAAAACAAATATTGTGGATTGCGTGGACTGGTTTGAATCGTGGTGATTATCTATCTATTTGATTTATTTCTTTTAAAAAGAAAATTCCAAAAAAAGATTAGTTAGGATTTGAATTTATTTTATTAGAAGATAATGATGCATGTTTAGGATAGGTTTAGAATAACTTTCTTTGAATAAGTCGATAGGATGACTTTTTAATTTAAATTAGGAATTAGAGTAATTTATTTCCTAGTTTAATTTAGATATTATCCTAATCTCGACGGTTCATTTTAGGGTAATTCTTGATTTCGAAGTTTCATAAAAATACCAAAAGAAGTCACT